CTTCCTGGGTTTGGATGTGAATTTCTAAGTGTGTGTGGTGTGAATTCTCTATGGAAGTATATAAGCTTCTTCTCTATTACCCATTTTTGTCTTCATCATTTTCAGTGTTTCTTCTTATACTGACTATTCTGTTACGCTGGAACTTTCCAGATACAGAACTCAGGCTCATACTTTCTATTTGCCACCCAGGCATTTCTTCTCAACTTCCAGGCTTGCTATATCCCTTCCTTTGAGGTCATACTAAAGTTACATTTTATTAATTCTACTCCTTTCATAAAGAGTAGGCTGGGTTCAGAGATGAAAAGAGGCCTGAGAGGCAACCTTAGCCATTGGAAAGCCCAGAATTAATCTAGTGTGAGGGTGGGGCTTGGTCATAGCTTGTCTATTAGGATTAGCTAATGGGATCAATGAGAAAAAAGGCTGAACCCAGAAGAGGGACAGGGCCGTTTTTGTTGTGGAGTATTGGCTGAAGGTTTTCCAGCTGAGGTCTATTTGAGTTGGTCCTGGAGCAGTGAATCCTGAGGAGGCCATGTATTTCTGCCCAGCTAGCTAACTATATCTAGCTTGCTTCTTTATAACTGTGTGAAAGTTATTTGGGCAGTTATCTCATGTGGCCACTGTTCTCTACTGCATAGAAAACAATTAGATTTTCCCAATTGCATTCGAATTTGAAAAAAAAAGTCAACAAGGTAAAAACAACTCAACAATACAGTTCATGAATTGCCTGATGTTATCTTTAATACATTTTCAGGGAAATAAGCAAGTGACACAAAGTGGGAAAACATTTTTTTTTCATTATTTGGAAATACTTGTTTTGAAATGAGCTGAATAGAAGCAATGGCAGAATCTCTCTGTGTGTGTGTATGCATGCACACATGTATGCATGTGCTTATGAAAACAAAAAATCCAACTGTTGATTCTTGTTCTTTTCAAAATGTCAGGAATGTAAAGTCTTGATCATGTTCAGTGGCAGGGCAATGCCCAACCTAGATGTTAATCCTAGATGCACAGAACAGTTGGGGACAGCAAGATGGCCATATTAGTACCTGCTTCACTTTTCTTAGGGGCTCTGATGTGGTGCAACGGAAGCAGGAAGAGAAGGAGTCCAAAATGCTAAAACTGGAAGGGACATTGGGCCCAAAGCCATGGTAATAACCAGTCTCTACATAAACCAGAGAGAGTTTAGTATGTTTCCTTTCTAGAGGGCTTAGCACAATGAGTAAAGTAAAAGCAATAATTATCGGTGGGCAGCTGGGGCATGTCCTTAACAAAAGTTAGAACCAGTTCTCAACTTTCAAGAGAAGACCTCTCTGTGGCAATACATTTTATCACTTCTACCATTTTTATAATATTATGTTGATTGTAGGGAGTTTGGAGAGGAATTTGACTGGTTAATATCAGTTCATTGCTGCTTGTGGAATTGTAACTTCTTTAGCAATGGTAGATCAGCAAAGAGTGGCATGAGTCTTTTTTTAAATTGAAATGTAGTTGATTCATAATGTTGTGTTAATTTCTGTTGTACCGCAGAGTGATTTGGTTACACATATACATACACTCTTTTTTGTATCCTTTTCCATTATGACTTATCACAGCATATTGAATATAGTTCCCTGTGCTATACTATACAGTAGGATCTTGTTGTCTATCTGTTCTACATATACTAGTTTGCATTGACTAACCCCAAAATCAAGGGTGGCGTGAATCTTTAAGAAATTCAATTCAACATTTATTGAGCACCTATTATTTGGTGCTCAGATAATAATGGTGGTATCGCTGACCTTACGTTGCTTAGTCTAGTGAGGAGTCTGAGAGATGAATGAATATTATCAGCCTGCCTCGTAAGTGCAGCAGGAGAAGCTTGGAAGAGAAACAGGGAGACGTTCTGAAAGAGCTAACATCTGGGCTGGATTTCGACAGGAGTAAGAGTTCCCAGTGATTTCTACTGAATTAATGCATATAATTTAAAAGTGAATATGAATCTCTCATTTTATTGTCACCTAAAAAAATTTGATGGCTTTCTAAAGATGGGTATACCCTCAATAACTTATGACATTTGGCATCTTATTGCATAGATCTTAATAGATTCTTAGGATTAGAGACTCATGTTCATGATTCTGATTATAAAACAGTTGAATAAATAAACCAAACTACTTCCCCCAATTTGACTTTTTTTCACATTAGAACTGTAAGTTTGTATTTGCACTGCTACTGATTTCCTGTCCTGTTTACTGTGAATAAAACATTTCTGTTGTTTGCTTCTAATTAAGAACTCAGGGTATTCAACAGACATTGTTCATTTTGATGAAAAATACTGCATTTAAAAATAATTGAGGTATGAGTTGGTAAACAGTTTTTATAAAACTAGGCTTCTATGGAATAGTAATACATAACAGATCATTTCCCTTAGAGGGTGGAAAAAAAAGAAAACTAAGACCGTCAACTATAAGATGTGCTTATTAACAGCTGTTTTCTATAATAGGAGCAATTTGCATGCAGAATAGAGAAAATGAATTATACAAAAGGGTGTATAGAAGAATAGCTATAACTTCTCCGGCATGTACAGCAGCCCACAGAATAAACTTCCTTCAAATGACATTGGCATGATTAAATCCCAGGCAACCTGGCCAGTGAAACTGCTGTTCTGAAAAGAAGCTTGCAGCCTGGAAATGTCATGGGTGTAATACTAGCTTGCTGGGTGGGGTGGGGTGGGGGTGCCCATGCATTTAGTGGCATTCCGCCCCCACTCAACATTCAGGGTATTTGATAATTCATGATAGATTGGCAGGTGGTCAGTGGATGATGGGCTGAAGCCACTCTGAGTCCTTTTGCTTTTTTCACTTTTTATTAGAGAAACTTGTAAGGTCAGGTCAGATGCCTCATTCATCATTTACTTCTTCCGATGTCAGTTTGGGGAAATTTTCCTAAAGTGGGATACAGGAGATAGCCTACTGTTAAAATCCTGCCTTCAGTATAACTGTTTGTAATCGTATTTGTATTCATGGAATGTCTAACCAATTTTTAAGTACATCATCTTCATCTTCTGCATTAAAAATGCCTTAGACTTGTATTTCCCCACATATATAATCTTGAGTCTTGACAGCCGTGCTTACAATATACACGTGGTATTCTTTCTCTCTTTTAAAAATTATTTATTTAATTCCTATTCTCTTTTTTTTTTAACATTAAACTTTTACTTTATATTGGAGTAGCACCGATTAATAGTGTTTCAGGTGGACTGCAAAGGGACTCAGCCATTCATATACATGTATCCATTTTCCCCCAAACTCCCCTCCCATCCAGGCTGTCGCATAACATTAAGCAGTTTCCTGCGCTCTACCGTAGGTCCTTGTTGCTTATCCGTTTTAAATATAGCCCTGTGTACCTGTCTCTCCCTTTTAAAAGGGATAGAGCTGGAGCTGTTTAGAGAATCCTTAGTCCAGGGCCATGGAATTCAGTCTTCTAATTCAAATCCAAGGCTTTGTACTTGTTTTCTTTTTTCTGTTTTCATCGGAAAAAGTTACATGACCATTGGGTATTGTACAGGTTAGAGTTCCTGCCTCGCTTCTGTCGCATCTTGAGAACTGTGTGTGCCAGGACCTGTGCTGGGTCTCCTACATACATCATCCTGTTTGATCCTTACACGGTCCAGATGAGGCACCTGAGGCTCAGAGGACTGGTGTAACTTTCAAAGGTGGCCTGGCTAATTCGAGATGGATCCCAGGTTGGCATCCAGGTATACCCGAGCCCTGGACACTCTTCATGTTCCTGAGTAAATGTTTCTGTCCTTGAGGAGTGAAAGGGAATTAGAGATGAGGTCCCTGAATATATGATAATAAGAAGTTTGTTAAGTGTCAAGCCAATGCTTCAGACAGTTAATACTTCAGGAAGGTAAAGAGAGAAGAGATGATAGTACCTTGTGGGCTGGAAAGGCTTTGTGATGAAACTGGGATTGGAACTAGCAGAAGATAATAAGAGTAGCATCAAAGTATGAGAGACAGGAAGAGGACAGAGTATAGGTGGGAAATACTGGGCCTGTTGGTGGTGAATCAATGCAGTTGGATGCAGCATAAGAGGTTTGGTGGGTAACAAAAGGAGGAAGGTTGAAAAGGTAGATTGGAGCCCTGCAGAACTGGGTTATGTGCTATATGGTCTAAATGTACAGCATGTGCATTTCTACTTCTTTATGATACTCACTGCCAATATGCAGTCTTAGCTAGAGTAGTTTCAGTTGGCTTGTGATTGATTTTGAATGAATGGAAATTTTAGTGGGGTGAATCATATTTAGCTTCATAGGGCATATTTCCTTCCCCAAGTCTAAACAAGTCTTTCTTCATAAGAATACAAAAACCTTATTGTTTCTTATGTATTCTTATGATATAAATAGATTTGAAGTGTTTATATGTATCATAATATTTCAGTAAATATTCTTTGGTAGAGGTAATGGAGAATAGTGAGTCTTAATGACATTGGGAGATACTGGGTTTGGGATTTTTTTAAGGAAGGAGGGTGGTCCTGCCACTTTTTGATATGAAAATTAGGATATCTCAGAGAACTGAGAGGTTTGGGGTAGAGTGATACACATCACAGACTAGGCATAGATAGTATGTTTGTTAGGAAACTGATAGTTGCTTTCAAGCTTTGGGTCACAAGGAACTGTCCTCAGTTTCCCTAAAGCGTTAGGGCAGGGTTTAATAACTGAGGTCAAGTCATTCATGACCATGGCTGATCTGGTGCTCTATTCCTTATCAAGCCTTGAATAAATAACTAATGTATTTGATTTATATAAGAATATTATTATTGTAGATTCTAAACAAGAAATGAAGAATAACTAAGAGAGTTAGTTGGGGCTTGGCAAGGTGTCATGAAAATTGAGAACGATGTAGGTGGAAGGATGGGATTTATTTATTAATTTTTTCTTGTTTTTAAAGGAAAGAAGAATGTGTTTTTGCCTATAACGTTCATCTCACGTATTCTTTTTTTTTTTTTTTTTAATGTTTCAGTGTGCAAAGATCCACCTTACAAAGTAGAAGAATCTGGGTATGCTGGTTTCATTTTGCCAATTGAGGTTTATTTTAAAAACAAGGTATGTAATCTTTACTCATTAATCTTTCAATAGAAGATCCTTCATTAACCAAACAATGTTTCAAATAGTTTTGATTTATAAGCACTTCTATCACTAGATGGTTTTAAAATAAAAGTTAAATCTGTCTTCTGGGAATTTTGGCTATTGTTGTCCTTAAATAAAGAGGAAGTGGCTAGAGAAAGATAATTTCAGTTCTGAGGAGTCAGATTATGTGAAATTCATTAAATGTCTGTTTTAAGAGAAGAGTGATTATCATTTTGAAAAAGAAGATTAATATATGTTTGTAAAATAGAAATTATGGCTTTTCAGTGAAATGATCTTTTTCTCATTTTTATACTTCTAGAATTTTGAGACTTTCAAAGAATTGTCTTTTATTTATCTTTATCTGATCTTTATCTGATACACAGATACAACACACATATATACAGTTATATCAGCTGCTGCTAAGTTGCTTCAGTTGTGTCTTACTCTTAGCGACCCCGTGGACTGCAGCCTACCAGGCTCCTCTGTCCATGGGATTTTCCAGGTGAAAGTATTGGAGTGGGTTGCCATTGCCTTCTCAGGTTACATCAGCAAGTGGATATTATGGATTCTATTGGATTTTAAAAATTTCAACAGTGCATAAGTGGCAAAACACACAGACTATATAATATTAGACAAATTGCTCAACCTCTGTGGGGCTGACTGTCCTTATTTATAAAATGGGGATAGGATAAGAGTACCTACCTCATAAAGTAGCTAGGAGGAATTGATCAAATAAAGCAATGTAGAGTATTTAGAATGATTCTTCATATGTATGTAAGCACTTAGTAAATACTAGCTGTTATTTTTAATCACCCTGTTTCTTTCTTTCATTCCTTTCCTGATTACTAAGGTAATCATAGTTCCTAAAACCTGCTCCAAAGTGAGATAATTCACTTTTTTTAAAAAAGGAATTGAGCTATTAGAATGTTGTGTCATCCAAGCTAGTGTCCCACAAAGTCTGGTGCTTGGACCAGCAGCATTGGCATCACCCAAGAGCTGGTTGGAAATGAGATTCTCAGGCTCTATCCCAGATCTGTTGAATCAGAATCTCTGGGATGGGGCCTGGAAATCTGCACGTTTACTGGCCTTCCAGGTAAACAAACACCAGTAAGTATGAGAACTCTGATAAGCCACTCCTGGAATACTGTCTCACCAACTTTTTCTTTTTCCTTTTAATTGAAGTATAGTTGATTGCAATATTGTGTTCCATTGACTTTTTTTTTTTTTAAGTGTTTGTTGTGTTTGTTACAACATTGCTTCTGTTTCATGGTTTGGTTTTTGACGGAGAGGCATGTGGGATCTTAACTCCCTGACCAGGGATCCAAGTCTTATCCCCTGCATTGGAAGGTGAAGTGTTAACCACTGGACCACCATGAAAGTCCCTCCACTGACTTTTTCAACGTATAGAAGGCCCAGCCTTCAATTCAATAAAAGCCTCTTTGTGATTAAGAGATAATTTGCTTTTAAATAAGCTCTACTGGAACTATCCTGAAAAGTTGGAATGTGTAGAAAACAGGGGTAGATTTTATTTTCCATATTTTAAAATTTTTTTCAAAAGCCAGTTCCCTCATGTGCCACATTGCTGCTCCATGACCCTCCTATACATGTTACCCTTTTAAATTGTTTTTCTTTATATTTGTATTTTGGGAACATTATTTGGTGGTATTACACAGTATTACACATAATCTATTTCTGTGTAAATATTTGTCCATGGCAGTTTGCTAAACCTTTTACATTTGTTACTTTATTCAGCTGTTTTATAAGAACTTTTGAGAGGTTATTATTCCTACTCTACAGGAAAGGAAACTGAGTCATGGAAAGATTACATGGCTTGTCCAAGGCCACACACAGTTGGAAAGTGTTAAAACCAGACTCTTAATCTAGGTCTTTCTCTCCACTGGCAATTCTCTTAAGTTCTGTTCCTCAGAAGAAGTCCCTCTTTGCCAGAATAATTACCTTCATCAGTAGTAATACCACTGAAATGTCCACATGTTTTTCATCAAATCAGAATTTGTTGAGATGTGCTTATGTCTGTTCATATGACGTGCTTTCACACTGATGTATGGATTTGTTTTTTCTCATTTCAAGATTTCCCTTAGGAAATTAGTTTTTAGCTTTCTTTTTTTTCCTTCATTTAAAAAATTGAGATATAACTTACACATCATAAAATTCATCCTTTAAAAGTATACAACTCTGTGGGTTTTAATATATTGTACAAACATCACCAGTGTTTAATTCTAGGACATTTTCATCACCTCATAAGAAAACCCTGCATCCATCAGCAATCGCTCCTCATTTCTTCCTCTCCCAACTCCTGGGATTAATCTGTTTCCTTTAAACCGTTCATCTATTTCCTTTCTGTGTGTAATATCCTATTCTGGGCAGTTCGTATATGTGGAAGCGTACAATGTGTGGCCTTTTGTGTCTGCCTTCTTTCATTTACTGTATTTTCAAGGTTTATCCATGTTATAGGATGTACCGATACTTGCTCCTTTTTATAACTGAATACTGTTCCATTGTATAATGTAGCCCACTGTATATGCCACACTTATTTATATTCGCATTCATAATTTGATGGACATTTGACTTGTTTCCATCTTTGCCCTATGAATACTGCTGCTATGAACATTCATATGCAAGTTTTTGTGTGGATATACGTTTTCAAGTCTCCTGGGCATATACCTAGGTGGAGTTGTTGGGTTGTGTGGTAACTCTGTGTTTAAATTAACTTTTTGAAGAACTGCCAAACTGTTTTCCGAAATGACCGTACTATTTTGCATTTCTACCAGCAGTGTATGAAAGGTACATTGAAAGCTTTAGTTTGAAAATAATGCTGCAATGAAGTATCTTCCCTCCTACTTTGTTTTGAACTTCTCTGGTCACTTTTACAAGCTCTCATTTCTTCACAGAGATATATTTTCTGAACTGCCAAGTTCCCTTCTTTACAGAAATAATTGGAATCTCCTCATCCACCTGATTTAAAAAGAAAATAAAAGCAGGATGAAGAGGCAGCAAATAATGTGTGTAACATGTGGGCACACACAAATGCAGCCTTGGTAATTTGGGGAGTAACTCTTGTGACTGAAAGATGTACTATTTATTCACTTGTGAGGAAGTTTCAATTTCTTAAAATATGAAAGAAGAAAGATGCACTCGAGATGGAAAATAGTTATTCCTTGGGAGTCACTGTGAAAAAGACATGTTGGCTCACCACTGTTTAATAGATATTCTATTTAGTGTCCAGATTAGTTGATTTCTATTTTCTAGTTTTAGATTTTCTTTAAGATTTTATACTTAATAATTGCCATTTCCCCCCACCCCCACCCCCTCCCAGGTGCACAATGGAAAGTATTTCAGTGTTCATAATATGAAAAAGTACATACATACATACATACATGTGCTCAGTCGTGCCCAACTCTTTGCAACCCCATGGACTGTAGCCCACCAGGCTCCTCTTGTCATGGAATTTTCCCAGCAAGAATACTGGAGTGAGTTGCCCTTTCCTCCTCCAGGGGATCTTCCTGACTCAGGAACCGAACCCACATCCCTTGCGTCTCCTGCATTGGCAGACAAATTCTTTACCACTGTGCCAGGATATACCTAATTGTAGAGATGTGGGTTAATTACTGACGGGTTAATAATGCACACAATGCTATCTAGCAATTAATGTAGCAAGATGGACATGTGTATAAAACAAAAATGATGACTTAAATGTTACAGAAGTTGTTGTATACGGTTACGATATCGCTTATGTATGAAGCCAAGAATAAATGAGGTTACAGAGACAGACATATATAGTACAAGAGCCAGAGTGGGAAGGATAGCACAGGAACCAAAAGGCATGGTTTACTGGGGGAAGAGGGATGGAAAGGCCTGTATTTATAAAACTTTAGTTCTTTAGAGAAAAAGGCAAACTAAGATGGTAAAAGTGTTATCATCTGTTTAAACTCAGTGGAAAATGCATGGGTATAGTATTTTAAGTACTTTTTTGTATGTTATTGATTCTTTAATTAAAATTATTGCTGTGTCATCTCTTTTAATTTATCTTAGAGTATCTTAGAAAGCAAAATTTTGCTGTCTTTTATTCTGGACCTCCAAGCTGGATGTATTTCTTATATCTCTTCCTACTGAAATGACTCATGGGTGAAAATTTAGTAGGTCTGGGCCATTTCTCCAGAATGTTCATTTCATTTCTTTTGAGTGTATGTCATTGTCTTTATCCCTGGAGTTTACTTAATTCTGTCTTGTAGAAAGAACATCTATTATAATAATGGTTTATGAAAAAGTATAATTTCAAGTCTTCAAAGGGGATGAGAGAAAGCAGCAAAAGACTTCCACTTGGTATTGGAAGGGGCCTGCCACCACACATTCAGTATATATCATTTTGTCCTTGGTCCCATCTCCATCCTAGTACTTTTCCTGCTTACAATAAGCTTGTCTTCAGTTTTGCTCACTTATTTGAGAGGTCAGAGTCAAGAGAGGTGGTGGAGTGACAGTATTTGTTTTGAGTTCTTGTTTGTTTATTCTGTTTTTCTGTGGTTGTATGCAATGAAACAAGCCTGTCTGTGAGAATCATGTGTGTTTCAGAAACTAAACCAACAGGCCCACTGAAACATAATTGACTGTAGCACTTCAGGTTTGAAAAGATCCCATGCTTCTCTCTTTCATTCTGTCCTCAAAAAAGTACATAAGTAAATGTCAAGGACTGAAGCAGACCGAGAGGAATAATTTAATGTTGCCAAAACCAGGTTTCCAACCTCTAGGAAATGTATTCGTTTTATATAGAGAATAAATATGTGCTTCCTTATTTGAACTTTGAAGAAGAATCTTGTCTATGGAGCATAGATTGACGTTAGGTTGATGTCAGCCCTCTGAGAAAGATATTCAGTTGGTCAGAACACAAATTTATGGGTACTTTTTACTTACTATAAAAAATTTTTGAAAGAAAATTGCCCTGAGGATTCATGCAAAGATAGCCACTTTTTGTGGTCATTTAGCCTTAGTTTTACTGAAAAATGATTTCTTTTTTCCATTCTTTTTTCTCTTGGTTATAAACTGATGTGAATTGTAAAGTGATGTTACTACCTCTCTCTTTTTAATCTGGTAATTATTATATTCATCAGTGTATTTTTTTTTTCTTTAGAAAGTGTGCGGGAGTATACTGCTAGTAAAAGTGAATGGAATAAAACTTAGGAGTTATTCCTTTCACTTCATTTGATCATTGTTAACTATTTGGTATGGCCTTTCCAGTTTTCTCCCCATGCATTTGCATAGATAAAAAAGTATGTCTGTGTAGAGCTTGGCAAGAGTGTAATATATCACATTTTAATATTTTCCTGTGACTTGCCTTTAATTTCCCTAGTGATGGGCCTTTCCAGGTTTTTGGAAATATCTGCATGGTATTCCATGGTAATGATATCATGCAGATTATCCATATTTTTTGTCTACTATAAACAGTGCTACCTCGAACATTTTATTTTACATCTTTAGCTACATTTACATACCTTTGCACACATATTTGAGTATTTCTGTGGAGGAGATTCTTAGAAGCAGATTTACTGAGTTAAACATTGTATGCATTTAATATATTGATAGATATTGCTAGTGTGTCTTCTCAAAGGCTTTACCAATTTGCATTCCCAATTGTAAGATAGAAAATGGCCCTTCTTATTTTTCAAATGAATTCTATGGTTATAATGACTATTTTGCAATTCAGAGAAAAGGCAGATAAGCTAAAAAAAAAAATGATTATGATAATTACATTAGTAAAGGAATGCTATAACAGGGATGTCTAATCCAGATGGGTTAGGAGGGTTTGGGAGACTTTTCCCAGGAGTTCTTGCTTCAGTTAGGTCTTGAATGATGAGTCTGCATTAAAAGAGGAAAGTTTGCTGGGAGGGGAAACATTTTTGACAATGGGGAAGACTATATGTGAAGGCAAATTGACTGAGATAGTAGGAAACACTGGGGAACAGCAAGTGCTTCACCTTTGTGAAAGGACAGAGCCTAGTAAGAGCACAAAGGAAATGCAGGAAAGGTATTAAAAGACTGTAATGGTTATTACCAGGAAGTGGGATTTTATCCTGTAGAAAATGATGAGCCATTAAAGGCTTTTATGTCAATGGGAAGATGTAATCTGACTTTTGTGTTAGAAGGATCACTCTCTTGTCATTGTGGGTGGTAGAAAGGGGTAAGTTTAAAACCAGAGGCAACCAGATGAGGAATGATCAAAGTCCCAGCGAAGGCAGTGGTTAGCGTGACTAGGGCAGAGGGCATAGATTTGAGAGCTCCTTAGGAGGAATACTAAACAGACCTCAGGAACAGTTTGACTTTGATGAGTAAGGGAGAAGGAAGTGTTAGGGATGATTGTTGTGTATGTTAGCCTTGGTAAGTGGTAAGATTTCTGTTTGCCATCATATAGAGTCTAGGAGAAAGGACACATGAAGATAACTTCAGTTTAGGATAATGCGTGACTTTGCTGCTGCTGCGGTTCATCCCAGTGGAGGTGTGGTTAGACTGGAACACAAGCAAATGGAGTCAGGTGCTGGGCTGGAGGTAAAGAGAGGGGAGTCGTGGTCATGTAGTGTTATGCCCGATGTCTGAATACCCGAGCGGGAAGAGAGAAGGCTTCCAAGACAATGCAACTCGCACTATCATGGCGCAGCCTCACAGTAGGAGGAACTAACTTCCTGTAGTGGGTGTTGTCTCCCTGGGGAACTTTGCGAAAAGATACAGGGCATTTAAGAGTCAATGAAAGAGGAGACACAGCAGCTTGTGATGAAAACTAAGAAGGAATGCCAGTAAGTGTGAGGAAAATGGCACCCTGAGAGAGAACGGCATTCTGATCAAGGAAAGAAGCAGCAAGTTTTCTGCCAGATGAGTAATAGAAGTGAGAGACAGTGAGTGAATGAGTAGAGACTATGATTTAGGTAAGTTTGAATGAAGAGGTGAAACCCATGAATATGTAGTAGGTGATTGCCTACATTCTGACAGTTTCAGTTGCTAAGACTTTTTAGTCAGAAGAACTGGGTTCAAATCACATTGTTATATTATGCGTTAGTAATATAACAAACTCTTTTTTGAAAAAGAAAAACATTGTTTATTTGACTGTGTAATTTTAGAAAATACTGTAAGTAAAAAACACACAAATTCCTCATATTGCTGGTGGGATTTTAAAATGGTGCAGTCACCCTGGAAAACAGTAAGGTTGTTCCTACAAAATGTGCAACATAGAGTTACCTTATGACCCAGAAATTGCACTCCTAGGTGTATACCCAGGAGAAATGAAAATTATGTCCATACAAGAAAAAAACTTGTACACAAATGTTCATAGCAGCATTGTTCATAATGGCCAGAAATGGAAACAACCCACATTTCTATTTACCAACAAATGGATAACCAAAATCAAGAATACCCATATGATGTGTTATTATTCAGCCGTAAAAAGGAACGGACACATGCTACAACATGGATGAACCTCAGAAACATCATGCTGAGTATGAGAAGCCAGTCACAAAAGATCACATATTGTGTATATATTTTATGTATGTTCATGTATTTATGCAAAATGTCTGGAATAAGCAACTCCATAGAAACAGAAATAGATTAGTGATGCCAGGGGATGCAGGATCTGGGGGACTGGGTAATGACTACTAATGAGTTTGAGATATCTTTCTGGAGTGATGAAAATCTGAAATTAGAAGGTGGTGATAATTTCATAACTCTGTAAATGTACTAAAACCCAGTAAGTATTACACTCCTAATGGGTAAATTTTATGATATGTGAATTATTTCTCAATAAAGCTATTATTAAAAAAACATAAATAGCTGTTATTAAAAAAGTAAAATGGCGAAGCTAATGACAAATGAAAAAAAGGTAACATATCACAGAGATGGTTAATATCTATAATACACAAGGACTTTTATATAAAGTAATAAATTCTAAGTGCTTTAATTTCCTCATCTGTGAAACAGAGCTGACAGTTGACCCTAAGGAGAGCTATGAGAATTAAATGAGATAAATGTTAAAGAACATATTATTGTTACTATTATACTGAGTATTCATTTCCCTGTGGATGCCTGAGAATCTGTCAGTAGAAAGGTTTAGATGTTTAGCTAGCTAAAGTAATGACTGGAGAGTAGAACCTTGAGTATCATGGAATTATAATTATTGTATTCTCTTGGATATGTGCTGTTTTGTCCTCCAGGAAAATGCCATGTGTTTATTCATTTCACAGGCATTATTGCATTTTTATGATGCACAGGGCACTAAGCTAGTTGTTGAGGGTACAATGATGACCCAGCCATTATTCCTACTTTCAAAGATCTTATGATCCAGCAGGGTAAAAGGAGATAGTGAGAAGAGAGTTATTCTAAGACGTGGCAAGGATAAGAGAGAGAGGCACAGAGAACAGAGGAGAGACAGTTAGGACTGGAGTTAAGGAAGCTTTCCCAATAAAACCTGAATAGAGACAGATGAGTAGAAGTTACCCAGGTAAAGCAGAAGGTGGAGAAATGGAGGTAGATAATGACCCTGGTAATGTAAGGCAAGAGTGAAACCCAGGGTTAACTGAGAATGAGTAAAATCTGGGAGCAACCAACCACAGCATGTGGCTAGACCATCAGATGGGTGGAAAGGCTATGGTGAGATATGGAACCAAGAGTAGATGCTAGTGGCATATAGGTGAGCTCAGATTATTATTCTGATGGCATTGGGAACTTGTGAAATTTTAATCAAGGAGTGAAAATGGCTAGGTTTTTGTTTTATATGGATAATTTGGAGGCCTGAATGAAGAGGAATCGATAATCTATCCTGAAGTAGGAAGAACTGCTAGAGGAAGGATTTTATAGTAGTCTGGGCAATGTGTAAGAGCATGCCAGGCTTGGGTTAGAGGGCCTCTTCAGGAAATATTTTAAAAGAGAAAACGACTGCTCTTGATGATGTGTGTAGGTGGTAGAGTCAGGGGAGGAAGAGTGGCTTCAAGGGTATCTTAGGGCTCCAGTTGAGTGACTGTGTTAGTGGTGTTATATCTCTTGAGAGATTGCAAGAAAGATGATGAATTTATTCTTTTCCCTTTTCCTTGAAGACAAGAAACTAATTTTTCAGATGTTTCCATTTTGCTTTGTAGATAGTTCCATGATGATTTTTTTCCCCTGGCACTTCTTTGACACTATAGCTGTTAGACCTCTGGATCTTTTCTGATCCTTCTCAGGACTAAAGTTTTGCTCTCTAAATCTCTATTTATGCCTAACTCTCTGTGTTCTTTTTTTTTTAACTTCTAGGAAGAACCTAAGAAAGTTCGCTTTGATTATGACTTATTCCTGCATCTTGAAGGCCATCCACCAGTGAATCACCTCCGCTGTGAAAAGCTGACTTTCAACAACCCCACAGAAGAGTTCAGAAGAAAGTTGCTGAAGGCAGGAGGGGTAAGTGATACTGTCTCCTTGTGAAAAGCCTTCCCACAGAAAGCTAGTTCCTTGTGTGTCAAAAAGTATGATAGTGTTTTGAGAGAGGTAAAAGAAATGAAGCACCTTATTGACCTCACTGTGTACTCGTGGTTTGAAAAGAAGAGGTAAGCAAACAATATTTTAAGTAGCTATGAGTCTGAAATTACATTATTGGTTAGAAGAGCCTTATAGTCTTATTTGGGCTTCCCTGGTTGCTCAGTGGTAAAGAATCCACCTGCAATGCAGGAGACAATGCAAGAGACTCTGGTTTGGTCCCTGGGTCAGAAAGATCCCCTGGAGGAGGGCATGGCAATTCACTCTAGTATTCTTGCCTGGAGAATCCCATGGACAAAGGAGTCTGGTGGGCTACAGTCCATAGTGTCACAAAGAGTCAGACACTATTGAAGCGAATTAGCATGCACACGTAGTCTACACAGTTCAGATTTATTTTGACAACAATCCAAACCCAAACTAGTTTCTGTTAAGAACAGTGCCTTAATTTTATTTTGGTGTATTGAAAGTTACATTAAAAATTATATTGTCCAAATTTTAAGGTCAAAATTAATAGAAAAGAGGCACTCATTCAAATTATGTATTTTTCATTTAAAAGCATATTTTTGTTTGAATTTTGTGTAGGTAAAAGGTGGATTTTTCTTTTTAAGATAATGATAATTAGCATGGTAAGTTTTTGCACATGTGAATTGGCTAGGATAGAGAAAGACTTTTAAGTGGAATTTCTCAAAAACATGGAATGTTTGCTTGCAGCAAAGTTAGCTACACAGACAAACATTATTGATGGGTCGAAATCTACTTACCATTGAGGGCTACTGGGACCATCAGCTTCTACTTTAGCTGAACTCCTTGTGTCATATTATGTAGGCAGTTCAGATCCCATAACATTTTGCAGTGTGTTTTTTTTTTAAAATTATTGTTATATATTTTTTTCCTTTTTTCCCCTGTGCATTCTTTAGAATTTCCTTCCTTTAGTTTTACTGAAATGTTTTTGAAGTTTTGCATTCATGAGCTTGTTATAGGAAGGGTATGTAGATGGTAACTTCTCAAGATGTCTCCTTTCACTGATAAACTCTATCTGAGAGCTTTGTAGGAAAGAATTGGATTTTATACAGGGCAACATTCATCTGAAGTTCTACAAAAACTTCTACCACATTTCATTCCACACTGTGCTGCATGTCAGTAGATTATGGGTTAAATAGATATTGATGGGTCAGCTTTGGAAATGAATGACCATTTATAGTACTTCATGGGGAAATGCATCTTGGTAATGAAATGGCCTTTTGTCATACAACTTATTTTAAAGTTAGGGATTTATTATATATTTATTCAGGAATGTTTTTTAAACAAACCCTACTTGATTCTTTTTAGTTATCTAGAGCACAATGTTGATGCTGCTTATTTGTGACTATGCCCTTAAAAATGAGCCTGTCCATTTTAAATCCTAATCATTCCCATTATTTTTCTTTTTAAGAGGATGGCATTTTACACCTCTGGTTATTCCTCTCGGATATGTGGTTAGGTAGGTAATTGGAGTGTGTGAATTATGGAGCTTGAGTACATCAGGCTTCTGATAAGGGTCGTCGGAAAAAGTAAATATGACACAAGAACTTTTTAAAACATCCACTTAGTCCTGGAGTACTCAAGGGTTGTTTGTGAGCTGGAGAAGAGGTTACAGGTCAGTGATAATGCTGCAGAGTGCGGCCCTGCACCCTGATAAGGTCTCTGGTTGATTTCTGTCTTTCTCTTCACTCAGCTTTTATCTCAGAGTTATCCTCCTTGACTTCTAACTTCCCTTCTTTGTATTTCTTTAAGTGCTATTCAAAGCCTGCCTGTTTTCCCCCTTTAGATTTGCATTGTGTCTTGACAACTCTAAAATGTGAAGTACTCAAGACACCCATTATTCGACATAAGTTCTTTAAGTGACTGACTTGAGTAAATTTTGTAGTAAAATTAACATTTAAAAATCCATTTGAAATACTAGTAATCTCATAGATTCTGTCCATTTCACATGGGAGGGTTAAAATAGTCTTTGATGGAAATGGGAGAATCTGAACCATTAAACTGTCTTATTGAGATTTTTGGATACCTCATATTTTGTTCACCTGACATTTTAATTTTTATCATTGTTGTTGTTCAGTCGCTAAGTAGCGTCTGACTCTTTACTATTAATGCAGTCTGTCATGGTGTCAGCTGTCTTATGAGCCATTTTGATTTGATCAGAGATCTGTTTCTCCAGCTTCATGGAGATACCATTGATGTATAACTTGAGATTACAGCGTGTTGATTTGATACACTTGTATATTGCAGAATCATTATCACCATGGCATTAGCTAACACCTGCATCACATCAGATAATTACCATTTCTCTTTTGTGGTGAGATCATTTGATTTACTCTTAGCAAATTTCACATATAATTTAGTTATTAACTATAACCATCATGCTGCACATCAGATCCCTAGAACTTAGTCATCTTATAACTAGAAGTTTGTGCTCTTTGATCCATACCTTCCCTTCTCTCGTACCTCCCCTCTCCCAGCCCTTGATAAGTACCATTCTGGCCTCTGTTTTTATAAGTTTAACTTTTTTCAGATTGTACATATAAGCAATATCATACAGTTTGTCTGACTCATTTCACTTAGCCTAATGTCCTCAAGGTTCATCCATGTTGTTGTAAACGGGAGGATGTCCTTCCTTCTCATGGCTGAATAATATTCTGTTGTGTACACGCATGCGCATACACAAATCTCCACATCATCTTTATCCCTTCATCTGTTGATGGACACTTTGGTTATTTTCATATCTTAGCTATTGTGAAAAATGCTACAGTGAACGTGGGAGGACAGATATATTATATCTTCAGTATCCTGTTTTAATGTCCTTTGGGTATATACCCAGAAGTGTGATTGCTGGATCATATGTAGTTCTATTTTTAATTTTTTGAGGAAGGTTCATATTGTTTTCCATAGTGACTGCACTGTAGGATTTACAGTCTTGACCACAGTACACAATGGTTCCCTTTTCTCCACATTCTTGTCAACACTTACCATCTCTTGTCTTCTTGATGATAGCCATTGTTACTGGTATGAGGTAATAGCTTATTTTGATTTGAATTTTTCTGATGATTAGTGATGTCAAGTAACTTTTCATGCATTTATTGGTCATCTGTATAGTTTCTTTGGAAAAACGTCTATTCGGATTCTCTGCCATTTAAAATCATACTGTTTGAATTTTTTTTTTTTTTTTTTGGCCATTGGGTTGTTTGAGTTCTTTATATATTTTGAATATTAATCTCTTATCAGATATATGATTTGCAAGTATTTTCTCCCATTTCTTTTCATTTTTTTTGATGGTTTCCTATGCTGGGCAGAAGCTTTTTAGTTTGATGTGGTTCCACTTGTTTGTTTTTGCTTTTGTTGCCTTTGCTTTTGATGTCTATTAGCAAATCTTATGCTCATGACTGTCTCTTTGTATAAACTTTTTTGTTAACTGGAGCCTGGGGTGAAAGGGGGTGCTTTTTTTCCTTATATTTAAATATTGCATATGTACCATGGAGGTATATGTTGTTTTTAAAGGAAAAAATCAATCCCTTCTTCATATGTACTGTGTGAAATCATGTATAGCCTGAGGCATGAGTAGAGTAAACTTACCACTTTGGCTGTAGTTCCTTCTTTTCACTTTTTTCTTTGAAAACAAAAGTACATAGCACTATTAAAAGTAGAACTTGGCTTTTCAAGGGATCAGAAAGGTTGTTTTTAGAGCTGGCAGCATCTTAGAAAATGCTTTTCAGCTTTCAGAAGAAAATGATTCCAAAGAACATTTTGCCAGAAGAATCTTGAAAAATTACAGATTTTCATAATCTATAAACCTATAAGCTATATGACAACTTTTTTTTGGGGGGTCAGTGAGATTTTCTTTTTACTCTTTTTTTAAAAAAAAATGTTGTAATTCTTTTCTAAATAGTGCCAAAGAAATCTTGGTGTGTTTCCCCCTTGGAATAAAGTTACACTGTGTTTTTCTCTTGAATAGCTATCTAAAATTAAGGAATCATTGCTTTCAAAGAAAAGAGAAAAAAAATTTGTGGAAAAGACATCTTTGGATTTAAGCATCATTTTCAGAGAATACAGAAGTACAAAATTATTTTATTTACATGCAGGTATTTTTCTCTAAATGAGAGATGTTATTGGAGCTTATAGGGAAATTGTAGATTTGGTTTACAAGCTAGCCTCTCTGGGGCCTGTGTAAGAAAAAGACAGAAGATAGTGGTTAGAAAGGGGTTTCCCTTGTGGCTCAGTTGGTAAAGAATTTGTCTGCAGTGCAGGAGATGCAGGTTCATCCCTGGATCAGGAAGGTCCCCTGGAGAAAGAAATGGCAACCTATTCCAGTATACTTGCCTGGGAAATCCCACGGACAGAGGAGCCTGGCAGACTACAGTCCATGGGGCTGCAAGAGTCGGACACAACTTAATGACTAAACCAGGCCAGAGGTTAAAAATGAAAAATAATAATCTAAGAACTTCTGGAAGGAGATTACCTTCATTTTGAGATCTTATTTTCTTCTTTGGTTGGCAGGAGAGGTAGAAGACAGTGAGCTGTAAACTTCTGAGGGCCAGACTTCATGTCATCTATTTATACTTGAGTTATAAGCAAAAGGATCAAATGTACCCCATTGGGAAGCAGCTCTCACTTTCACTGAGATACTTTTCTTTTTTTTCATGAACTGATGAATCCATGTGGAAGGATTTTCAAATATGCTCTTTACGTGTCAGGATTTTTTTTTTTAAGGAGTTATGATCACGATAGATGGTTTTCTCTGTTTACTTGATCACCTTCTTAATAGTCACACTGAAAAATGCAGAAGGATTTGACATCCATCACTTTTGATTGAGAGAGGATGAGTTTTTATGTGGGTGTTGGCAAAGCAATGATACAGTGTTTGTTGTATAACTGAAACTTGTCATCTTATT